ATAATGACGGGCAGGCTGGCTCCCACACCTACCAGGCCCTCACTGCGGATGGCCTCTTTGGGTCTGTGGAGCCACCCAGAAGGTCCACTGGCAGACTCATCATGCACAGCCTCGCCATGTTTGGCCGAGAGTTTTGCTATGCAGTGGAGGCAGCATATGTGACACCCGTGCTCCTCAGTGTGGGCCTGCCCAAGAGTCTGTACAGCATGGTGTGGCTCCTTAGTCCCCTCCTGGGATTTCTACTGCAGCCTGTGGTAGGCTCCGCCAGTGACCACTGCCGCTCCAGGTGGGGTCGCAGGAGACCCTACATCCTTTCCCTGGCCATCATGATGCTACTGGGCCTGGCTTTATACCTCAATGGAGATGCTGTGGTATCAGGTAAGTGGATCCTCCGGGAGCTATTGGGGACTTATATGGGAGAAGAATATGGGGTTCTTTACCAGTTGATTGAAGTTGATTAGTGATATTCTTTGCTCCTAAATTGCAGGGAACTTCTACCTTTGAAAGACCCAAAATCTAGAATCAGGGAACACTTAAACTTTTACATACATTAGCATGGTTACCTTTGACTGTCATGAGAATTTTAAGATAGTTTATGTTTTTATCTATTTTGAAAGATTAAATATTTTTACATATTCATCAGTGGAGTTGGTTTTTATTCATTATGCCCTATAGAGTACTTTGCTGAATTGATCAGCTACAAAATGTTTCCATAGACATTTTCAGTAAATCACATGTGTATTTAAATAAGGGTTAATTCTTTTCATGGCTTTAGATAAAGCCTTTTAAGGTATGTTAGGCATGAACCTGTCAGATCAAGGGAACATTTCTGCATTGTAAATTCTGGACAACAGCAAATTTGTTGGTAAAGCCCTTTTTCTAGTCATTAATCAGTCATCAATTAATCAGCACTTAGTACTTTGAAAAGAGTGTCATTATACTTAAAAAGGGCATTTATTTTTAAAATTTGGTAACTGTTCAACTAGCAGAATGGAAGGTTATGAAACAGGGTAATCAGGTACTATTCATACTACCTCAAAAGAAAGTACAAATACACACATATAGGATATGTCTGGAAGAATGAATAACAAGCTGGCAAAAATAGTTACATCTAATGACTGGAGGGGAGAAGGGGAGAGTAAACTTATTTTTATTTAATTTTATACTTTTTTTTAAACATGTGCATATACCTTATACACTATTCTTGGATTTAAAAAAAGCAGTAAAGAAGGGAAATGACAATGTATCGCTCAGATTGTGTCAATGAGTGACAGCATATCCTTAGGATAAATGTTATTTATCTGTCAAAAGTTGGTTTTCCTTAACTGAAATGCAAATATATGAGGAGAGTTGGTTGAGGCAGGCTAGGCATATAGTAGAGGATCTAATTCCCCAGAGTTGTGCAAAAGTGGCAGGATCACCAGGGGATGGTAGAGACTGAGAAACACGACTCGGGCACACTTGTGTACCTCAGAGTGCATGAGTGGGGGTGACTGAAGGGAAATCACTTTCCTCTAGAGGAAAGCCATCACTGTGGATAAATGTTCAAGAAATTTCTTCAGCTTTTTCTGTTATATTATTTGCAATAAGTATGTGCAATTTGTTACTTAAAGGGATATAATTTATATATCCTGAAATTCACTTGAAAGCACATAGCCCAGTGTTCTTTACTCTGCTCATAAGGTTTTGTGAACCATTGCTGCACTCTAATTCCAGAGTAGTTTCATCACCCCCAAAAGAAACCCGTCACACCCTGGCAGTCAGTCTTCATTTCATCCTATGCTCCAGCCCCAGGCAATCTCTAAGTTATTTTCTATCCATAAGACCTCTCTCCCTTGAGCATTCATCCATTTTCATAATTTTTAGAACTTGAAGAAAATATTTTACTTGAAGAAATAAAAGAAAACGAAAACAAAGGGACATGACTTAATGACAGATTAGGTAAAATTAAAAATGTGGATCATTCTAAAGCAGGATTTAGGAGACTACTGTGCATTTCTCTTTTAGCTTTGGTTGTGAACCCAAGGAGGAAACTGGCTTTGGCCATAAGCATCACCATGATGGGTGTGGTTCTCTTTGATTTTGCTGCTGACTTCATTGATGGGCCAATCAAAGCCTACTTATTTGATGTCTGCTCCCATGGAGACAAGGAGAGGGGCCTCCACTACCATGCCTTCTTCACAGGTAGGGCTATTTCAGAAAGTCTCTCTTCAGCTCTCCAGACAGAAGGGCTCCTCTGTGGACGTCGTCCCATGTCTCTCTGTCTGTGGAATGTCTCCAATGAATGGATCTGTTGATGGGATGCTCCCATCACAAGACTGACTTCCAGTGGATGTCTCTAAACAAAGTCACCTTGTGACTGGGTCTGCAGAGCATTTGAAAGGGAAATTTACATAAGAGTGTCTTTAGAACTATGGAACAATTAGGTCTTAAATTTTAAAAAAATCTTCCTACATTGAACTTTTGTTTTAAAGCAGTGGGTTTCATTCTTTTTTTTCCCCCCTGTATTTAGAACAGGGTCTACAGTGTCTCACTACATAGATTGGATTCGTAGTGATCCTCCTGTTTTCAGCCTCATAAGTGCTGGCATTAAAGGCGCGCACCACCACATCCAGTCTCAGTCACCATATCAGCTCGCCGGGGAGGCAGGACCGACACAGCAGGCTGAGGCTTGGACCCCAGCTGCTGCGCTCTGCCTAAGCAGGCACTTTAGTCTGGTGAGCTATCAGACCAGCCCTAAAGCAGTGGGTTTCAGACACTAGGGATGTGGCATCAACCTTCCTTAGGAGCTTGTTGAAAGTTCAGGTTTCTGATTATTCTGATTGAATGGTTCACAGATGGAGGTCAGATATTTGGATTTTATTTAATAAGGACCCCAGACGATTTTGTGCCTTAAGAGGCACCTTTTTTTAAAAAAGAAATTAACAAACCAAGTAATAAAAATTCTCATCTCTTTGAAATATCATAGTTATGTGAAGAATTGACATTTTCTCTTCTGCTGGCATGAAAGCATTCATGCTGGTAGGATCAGAGCCCTGTGTGTTCATTGCAGCTGTTGGCAGCCTCATTTGTGGCTATCATGTCATTTGTTTAGAGCACTGCCACTTAGTGCTCCAGTGACTACTGCACAGAGACTGGGGGCAAGAGGGCCAGACACCAAGGGATGGCAGGGCTGTGGGCTGGGAAGGGTTTTATAACTACGTAGGAGGGGAACACTATCACATCTCTTTATACAGTTGTCTTTATAGCTTGGCTGGTGTATTTGTTATGTTTCAGTGTATTCAGTCTCCTTCTACGGCCTGATAGGGCCCATGTCTCTAAAGCTAAGAGTGGGCTTTGCACACAGAAATCTTTGGTTCCTCTCTGTAATTCAAACATTTCAATGGTCAAAGCATGAAGAAATGAGGCTGCTCAGCAGAGTAAGCTGTTCTCTCCCAGAGTTATTATTCAGAAAGGTCAGTGAAAAGTGCAGCTTGGCCTTTCATTGACCCACAGCTCCACATGTCCTGATATCAAAAGGCTCTGAAGACAAGACTAGGGTCTGGGACCTTTCCCCTCTTCCCCACTACCCCTGCCCAGCAGCCTTATTCCCTTGCTTCAGCTTCCATCCCCTAGAGCTTTCCCACATTGTAATCCCACTCAGGTGCTTTTGCTACACCTGTCTTGCAGCAGTCCTGGTAGCTTTGCCTAGGCAACCTCAAGGTTTAGCACATGTTCTTTCCCTTCCTGGGACACTTCCTGGCATTGTCCCAAGGTTGACACCATTATTTGTGAGAGACACCAGGTTTCTCACAAATTTCTCATTAGTGAGAGCATTCTTGGCTACCATGTCAAACATAATATGACCATTCCTCTTTCTCCACATCTTGTTTGATTTTTTTCCTACTGCTTAATCACTACCAAACTGATGGGCTAGCTGTCCATGCATCTTTCCATCCATCCATCCACCCATCCATCCATCCATCCATC